CCCCAAAACCCCAAAACCCCAAAACCCCGTAACTCCATTGAATTTTATAAAATATTGCAGAATAGAGTTTTTATTTAAACAATTAAACAATTATGTAATATGCTAGTAATTTTTTCATTTATATCCAGGTTTTCTTGGGTATCCTCCCATAACATTAGAAAATCCTTGATTTAAATGTTAGCCTATATTTTGATAGGCCTATTAAGCCATCTATGGAATTCCCATATATTATGGTTATTGAGGTTATTGCTATTGCTATTATTGTGACTATGCATTCTTAGCATGCTATTGTATAGTTTGAATTAAGGCATGCTGATCAGTTAATTTTAAGAAGAAACAATAGGCACAATAGTCGTGGTCACAGTTGTAATCGCATCTAAAGAAGAATGGATAGAGCAAAAGATTTGACTTAAGACAAATGTCGCAATGCAAAAAGGTAGAATTTGGGTGTGCACTCTTTTATCTCATTGGATGATTATTTTTACACAGAACAGAATTCATTTTTTCTAAAAAGCCTGAACCACCTGGATTTTATTGTGAAAGTTTAAATTATAAGATCTTAATTTGCTCCTACAAGTCTGCATTATGCTTTGCCATCTTCTCGTCAGCTGAGAATATCTATTTAGGGTCAATTTTTTAAGCTTTGAATTGTTCTTTAAGTTCTGAAATCTAATTTCTCAATACTTATGCCTGCTTATCTTTTTGTAGCTCCATATCTTTAAGCTGCTCTTTCAACTAGTGTAGTTCACCACTTAGGACTTTGAATTTAGTCTTACAATCTTCATTATCGCATTGCCCCTTCTCACACTCTGAATAATGTTTATAATAGTTCTCATAAGTAATTTTGTCCTCACACTTAGGATTATTCTGGCATTTGAAGTTCATTTTGTTAAGTGTGTTCATGACAATTCTATTGATCTTAGAGTACTCGTTCCCACCACACATTTTAGGGCATTTTACGTCAGGGCTTGCCAGGCAATCCTTGCAGTATAAACTCTGGCATTCCCTGCATTCTACCGGCTGTAATACAACCCCATAACAGAATAGGCACACATAATGCTGCTCAAATTCTTCACCAGGAGTGCCACAAAAGAGATCAGGATCAAGAAATTTAAGTGTATTTTTACTTGAAGCTTCCATGTTCTAAGTAATTATGCAAATCAATAATTTATTATAATTAAATTAGAATTTTTCCTTAAATTTGCGTAATTATTCTAGTGGGGTTTTGGGGTTTTGGGGTTTTGGGGTTTTGGGG